TGTATAACACAGTATAGTATAACTATATTGTATAACTATACTGTGTTATACATATATTATACATATATATGATTATACACATTATACATACATAAGTACAAATATTGTACATATACATATAGTATGTATATAATACATTATACTATTATATAAGTATATGTATAGTATATACATATAGTATATGGGTAGTATATACATATAGTATATATGTACATATGTACTGGTTCCTTGGTGAAGGGACCAGGATAGTATGATGATCTGATATAGTACTTAATTAAAAAATACAATTATGTTTTGAGCTGAAATAATATATTATTTCGGCTTTGAAAAGCTCCTTCCTTAAATGCTTGTATATTTATACACTCTGAATAGCGGTAAAGTAGAACTAACAATCACTGAAATGTGAGAGGAAGTTGAGCGTTCTAGCTGGGGGATTAGTCCAGGAGAAAACTAGTTCATTGGGCTGCTTTTTTTTTACTAGAGTGTAGGGTAGGGTTTCTCAATGGCTGCACTGTTGACATTTGGGCCTGGATAATTTTTGGTTGTGGGGTGCCACCCTGGGCACTGTAAGGTGTTTAGCTGCATCCCTGGCCTCCACCCACTAGATTCCAGTAGTACCCCCAAGTTGTGATGACCAAAGTGTCTCCAGATATTGCTAAGTGTTCCCTGGGAGGGGGAGGGAAATCAGCCCCGGTTATGGTTCTCAGCTTTGCAAGACCAGAACCTGCATTTTACTGCTTTAACTGGTACAGTCAGAGAAAACTGGTTTTCTAGAATGAAATTCACAGGAGACTAATTCTTTTTTTTTATTATTAATTAACTAATTGTTGGCTGCATTGAGTCTTTGTTGCTGCGCATGGGCTTTCTCTAGTTGTGGTGAGTGGGGGAGGGGGTCTCTACTCTTCATTACGGTGCACGGGCTTCTCATTATGGTGTCTTCTCTTGTTGGGAGCACGGGCTCTAGGCGCGCAGGCTTCAGTAGTTGTGGCTCACGGGCTTAGTTGCTCCGTGGCATGTGGGATCTTCCCAGACCAGGGCTCGAACCCGTGTCCCCTGCATTGGCAGGCAGATTCTTAACTACTGCGCCACCAGGGAAGTCCCAGGAGACTGATTCTTAATCCAGAATACAATTTCATTAATGTCTAGAGGGAAATATCCGTTTTACTCACTCCAGACTCATTATTGCTGAGATCCCCCTCCCCTGGTGTTAAGACTATTGCAGATCAAATTGGTAATAAACAAATAGCTTGGCAAACCTGGAATTGGAGTGTGTACCTTCTTGAGAGGTATTTTTTCTTGAGAGGTATTTTGTTCATGTCATTATGGTGTCTGATGAAATTCCTGTACTCCAAACCTAAAGAAATAGTGATTATAGTCCTGGTGTTCTTACTTACTAGATTCTGGACCCCAACTCACTTTATAAAACCTCATGGTCCCGTCACAATGAGATGAGCAAATTAACCAAGCTCTGTGACTCAAGTTTACCTCATCTGTAAAATAATATCAGTACCTCAAAGAGGAGTGGTAAAGATTGGTAACTACGTGTTGAATGGCTGTAAGTTCTTAGCAGAGAGTGCTCACTGAATGTGTTCACTATTATTAGTTCTATGTAAGAATAACTTTAGAATATTCTGCTGCTAAGTAAACATACCACAGATTGGGGGGAAATGTATATACTCATGTAACTACCACTCAGACCTACAGCTAGAACTTTACCAAACACCAGAAGCCCCCATCTGTCCTCCCCCAACCCCTGTCCCCTGCCGACCTCTTTCCCGTATCACGTGTCCCTCTTCTCACAAGTGGAATAAGCACCCCTTCTCTTAGATTAATCCCATTCTTTTTAAGCTAAAAATAAAACAGTATTGAGTCTCAATTTATAGTGGCAAAAACAAATGTGCAATAAATATATGCCCTCTAGAGTGATTGCACTAGAGAGGCATTTTACATCGGAAACATTGATTTGAATCTGCATAATTGATTGTGAATTGCAGTTAAACAGCCTTGTTGGGTCACACTTATACCTGAATACTCATAATGATTCAAAAATGATTATAGTTTTGGTAGACACACACCCACAAATGCACCCCCCCAATATAGATAATGTGCTCATTTGCTCACGCTAACACACACATCATAGCTTCCACAGCATACTAAAGCATTTTGGTTGTGGCTTGTGATTGGGTGTAATCAGAATTTCCTTCAACACTTCATGGATTGTTATGTCTTTTTATGTCTACACTTCTTAACACTTGAATTACAACTAGATTGAGTGTCAGTACTTAAGCCAGTCAATAGACATGCAGGAACTGTGGGCCAGTTATCACGTCTTTTTTAAGAGCTAGCTAAAGCAGGGGTCCCCAACCCCCACGCCACAGGCTGGTAGCAGTCCGTGGTCTGTTAGGAACCAGGCTGCACAGCAGGAGGTGAGCTGCAGGCAAACAAGCATAGCTGCATCGGTACTTACAGCCGCTCCCCATCGCTTGCATTACCGCTTGAGCTCCACCTCCTGTCAGCATTATGGTGAGCTGTATAATTATTTCATTATATATTACAACGTAATAATAATAGAAATGAAGTGCACAGTAAATGTGATGCGCTTGAATCAACCTGAAACCATCCCCCCACAATTGTGGAAAAATTGTCTACCATGAAACTGGCCCCTGGTGCCAGAAAGTTTGGGGACCGCTGAGCTAAAGAGTTTAAGGTGTGAAAGAAGAAAAAGGGGACTTTAAATGAAAAGGAGACAATCTTAAAAAATAAAACGCTACCTTTAGCAAATTCTTTTGAAAGGCAATCAAATGTTAAGTTGGTAAATTTTTACTTACCACTTATAATTTAAACCTTTAACTTTAAGAAAAAGTACATATTTCAAATGGCAGGACTGCAGAAAAATATTGTAGTTTGAATAGTTAAGCAGTAAAACTGATAGTGACTATTTTATAAAAACCTATGTTCAAGAAGCATAGGCTTCATAAAATTTCAGATGAATCTAGATAATTCCTGGATTTATTTAAAATGTTTATTGTTAATTTAAAAATTGGGACAATAATCCTGCATGATTTTTAATTACCAACGTATGTTAAATCCTAAATATAAGAGAAATATTTTCTGATTAGAGCAAAAATGGCAACAACTTAATAATTGTATAAAGTGAAAATCTGAAGATTGCATGAAATGAAGAATTAGCTGAATAAAATAAGTGTGTATAGATATCATGGTCAACATGAGACTGCTCTTATACTTTTCCTCACTCTTTGTGCCTTACTTTTTATTGGATATGTGATATACATAATAGGATAGATAAGACATATATATATATATATATATATATATATATATATACTTGTCATATATAGATAAGACATGTATATACTTTCATATATATCCTTACATACTTATTCATATACACATACAGGTATGTGTATGTATATACACACACACACGCACACACACACTGCCTTCCTTTAGAAGTAACCACTATCCTGAATTCTAAGCTTTTCATTTCTTGGTTTTGTTTTTTGTTTTGGTTTTTTTTTTTGTGGTACGTGGGCCTCTTACTGTTGTGGCCTCTCCCGTTGCGGAGCACAGGCTACGGACGCGCAGGCTCAGCGGCCATGGCTCAAGGGCCCAGCCGCTCCACGGCATGTGGGATCTTCCTGGACCGGGGGCACGAACCCGTGTCCCCTGCATTGGCAGGCGGACTCTCAACCACTGCGCCACCAGGGAAACCCTGTTTGATTTTTTAAATAGTTTTCTTTCCTAGTCACATGTGTCCCTAAATAATGTATTACTTAGCTTTGCTTGTTTTTAAGATTCTCAAAACTATCAACATATATTATATGGTCTTCTATAACTTTTTTCATTAAATATTTTATTTCTAAGATCCAACCTTGTTACTTTATTGATTTTTTGGTGTATGTTGGTGTAGTTCTTTTTCCTGCTGTATGTTATTTCATTGTGAAAAGTACTATGATTTATTGATCTCTTCTTTGATCAATAAATGTTCGGATTGTTAATCAATTTTTGCTATCATGAACATTGTTGCTAGAAATCGCACACATCTCCCTGTGCACAAATACAAGAGTTGCTCTAGGTTAATGCTTCTCAACTTTTTTTCTATTGGCACACAATAAACACTAGTATTTGTATGACACCAGAAGGCAAAGCTTCTTGAGACCAGCAGTTCATCATAGGGAGGCTCTGCCCAGGAAGAAATACATATCCATGGACCATGGGGTACAGAAGGTCAAATATGCAAGCTGATGACAAATTGGTTTTTAAAAGTAGGTGCTCGCCTTTACACTCCCACTAGCAGGATGTTGGAGTTTCTCTTGGCCCACATTATCTGGACCATCTGGTGTTGTCAGACTTATTAAATCTTGCTGGTCTGCTGTTTGTAAAATAGTATCTAATTGTAGTGTTAATTTACACTTTGAGTTTGATCGTCATTTAATAGTGGTTCTGTGCTGTGAACTCTCTGGTCTAGCCTTATGTCATTTTTTTCTAGGGTGTTTTCTAACTGATTTAAAAGGAGTTTTTGTTTCTCATTTTTTTTTTTTCCCTTAATTTGCAATACTGTTTGTAAACTGTTTGGGGAGTACTTTCTCCATGTTGTGATGTTTCTCTTTACATCACATGTCTTTTGGCAACCCTAAGTTCTTAGTTTTAATCTAGTTAAGTTTATAATTCTTTCCTAATATACATTTATTTATGTAAATTAGGAATACCGATTAGGTATTTTTGTTTCTTGTTTAAGTAAACCGTTTCTATCTCAAGATACTGTTTTGTAATTTCCACGAAGTTTTCCTTCTTCATTTCCATATGCTCTTGTCTTTAAATTCTTTTTCTCTTATTGAACTTACACTGTATATAAGCAGTGGGCATGTTGTTAGAGATCCTAGATTTATTGTTTTGTTTTGTTTATTTGTTTTATCTGTTGAATCCAAGTAAGCTGTCAGCACATTACTAACTGAATGTGGAATTTTTCCTTTTGGCAGACGATTGTGATGACCCTCTGGTGTCTGCCTTGTCTCAGGCATCATTCAGCAGTTCATCCGAGCTCTCTAGCAGCTATGGTCCTGGATTTGCAAGGCTAAATCGAAGAGATGGTAAGTCTGCTTTTTCTGCTCTGATTGGTTCATGACGAATCTCATTCATCTTCCATTCTCCTTTAGTAAAATCATTGTAAGTGATATATTGTAAAAGGTAATAAATTTCTTAATAAGCAAATGGCAGAAACTGATGGGATGTTCATGAGATTTAGGATTGGCTCTAGAATGGCAAAGGGATGCACCTGTTCTGAGATCTTGTATCATCATTTTAGTGCCCAAAGAATTGAATTCCCTAAATCTGGCGATTTTTTTAATGTATCTTATAAAATAAACTTTTCTTTAGAATTTTTTAATTTTTTAATTGAAATATAGTTGATATACTATATAATTTTAGTTTTAGGTGTACAATATATTGGTTTGACATTTAAATACACTGTGAAGTGATCACCATGTTATGTCTAGTAACCATATAAAGATATTACGGTATTATTAACCATATTCCTTATGCTGTATATTACATCCCATGACTTATTTATCTTATAACTGGAGGTTTGTACCTCCTAATTCCCTTCACCTATTTTACTCATCCGCTCAACCCTCCTCCTCTGATAACCACCTCTTTGTTCTCTGTATCTAATTTCATTTTGTTTTGTTTGTTTTTTAGATTCCAGATATGAGTGCAATCATACGGGTTTGTCTTTCTCTGACTTATTTCACTTAGCATAATACCCTCTAGATCCATCTAAGTTGTCACAAATGGCAAGATTTTGTTTTTTTAATGAAAAATAAACATTCCACTGTATATGTATATACCACATCTTCTTCATCCATTCATCTACAGAGGACACTTAAGTTGCTTCTATACCCTGGCTATTGTAAATAATGCTGCAATGAACATAGGAGTGCATATATCTTTTTGAATTAGTGTTTTTATTTTCTTGGGGTAAATACCCAGAAGTGAAATTGCTGGACCTTATAGTATTTCTGTTTTTAATTTTTTGAGTAACCTCCATACTGTTTTCCATAGCAGCTGCACCAATTAATCCCACCAACAGTGCACCAGGGTTCCTCTTTCTCTACATCCTTGCAGACAGTTGTTATTTCTTGCCTTTTGGATGATAGCCGTTCTGACAGGTGTGAGATACATCTCATTGTGGTTTTGATGTGCATTTCCCTGGTGATGAGTGGTGTTGAGCCTGTTTTCAGGTGTCTGGTGGCCATTTCTATGTATTCTTTGAAAAACTGTCTATTCAGGTCCTCTGCCAATTTTTAAATTGAATTGGTTGTTTTTATGATATTGAGCTGTATGAGTTCTTTGTATATTTTGGATATTAAACCCTATTTGAATATGTCACTTGCAGATATCTTCTCCCATTCAGTAGGCTACCTGTTTGTTTTGTTGATGGTTTTCTTCACTGTGCAGAAGCTTTTTAGTTTGGTTAGTTCTCATTTGTTTACTTTTGGTTTTGTTTCTCTTGCTTGAGGAGAGAGATCCAAAAATATATTGCTAAGACCAATATCAAAGGGCATACTGCCTATGTTTTGTTCTAGAAGTTTTATGGTTTCAGATCTTACATTGAAGTACTTAATCCATTTTGAGTTTATTTTTGTATATGGTGTGAGAAAGTAGTCCAGTTTGATTCTTTTGCATGTAGTCTGATTTTTCCAACACCATTTATTGCAGAGGCTGTCTTTTCCCCATTGTATATTCTTGCCTTCCTTGTTGTACATTAATTGACCATATAACGTGGTTTATCACATCGATTGATTTGCAGGTATTGAGCCATTTTTGCATCCTTAGGATAAATCCCACTTGATCATGGCATATGATCCTTTTTAATGCGTTGTATATTTTGATTTTTGCATCCATGTTCATCAGTGATATTGGCCCGTAATTTTGTGTGTGTGTGTGTGGTGTCCTTGTCTAGTTTTGGTATCATGGCGATGCTGACCTTTTAGACTGAGTTTCGAAGTATTCCGTCCTCTTCAATTTTTTGGAATAGTTTGAGAATGATAGATGTTAACTCTTCTTTAAATATTTGGTGGAATTCACCTGTGAAGCTGTCTAGTCCTGGACTTTTGTTTGTTGGGAGTTTTTTGACTACTGATTCAATGTCATTACTAGTAATTGGTCTGTTCAGATTTTCTGTTTCTTCCTGATTCATTCTTAAAGATGGTACGTTTCTAGAAATTTATCCATTTTTTTCTATGCTATACAATTTGTTGTTGTATAATTATTTGTGGTGATCTCTTATGATCCTGTGTATTTCTGTGGTGTTGGTTGTAACTTTCCCTCTTTCGTTTCTGATTTTATTTATTTGGTTCTCTCTTTTTTTCTTGGTGAGTCTAGCTAGAGGTTTATCAATTTTGTTCATCTTGTCAAAAAACTCAGTTCTTTTTTTCATTGGTCTTTTTTTTTCTTGGTTTCTTTTTTTGTTTGTTTTAATTACTGCTCTGCTCTTTATTATTTCCTTCTGCTAACTTTGGACTCTTTTCTTCTTTTTCTGTTTCCTTTATGTGTAAGTTCACATTGTCTATTTGACATTTTTCTTGTTTACTGAGGTAGGCCTGTATTGCCATGGATTTCCATTTTCATTTTTCTCAGGGTATTTTTAAATTTCCTCTTTGATTTCTTCAATGACCCATTGGTGGTTTGGTAGCATATTGTTTAGACTCCAGTGTTTATGTTTTTTCTAGTTTTTTTTCTTGTAGTTAATTTCTAGTCTCATACTCATATGGTCAGAAAAGATGCTTGATATGGTGTCAGTTTTCTTAAATTTACTGAGACTTTTTCTTGTGGCCTAGCTTGTGATCTGTCTTGGAGAATGTTCCATGTGCACTTGAAGATAATGTATATTCTGTTATTCTGGGATGAGATATGCTGTATATATCAATCCATCTGGTCTAATGTGTCATTTAAGGTCAGTGTTTCCATTTGGATGATCAGTCCATTGACATAAGTGGAGTGTTAAAGTCCTTTACTGTTATTGTATTACTGTCAATATCTCCCTTTATGCTTGTTAATATTTGCTTTATATATTGATGTGCTCCTATGTTGGGTGCATATATATTTACAAGTGTTATGTTTTTGTTGGGTTGATCGCTTTAGCATTTTGTAATGTCCTTCTTTGTGTCTCATTACAATCTTTTTTTTCTTGTGGTACACGGGCCTCTCACTGTTGTGGCCTCTGCCGTTGCGGAGCACAGGCTCCAGACGCGCAGGCTCAGTGGCCATGGCTCACGGGCCTAGCCGCTCCATGGCATGTGGGATCTTCCTGGACTGGGGCACGAACCCGTGTCCCCTGCATCGGCAGGCAGACTCTCAACCACTGCGCCACCAGGGAAGCCCACAGTCTTTGTTTTAAAGTCTGTTTTGTCTGATATAATTACTGCTAACTCAGCTTTCTATTTGTTTCCATTTGCATGGAATTTCTTTTTCCATCACCTCACTTTTAATCTGTGAGTGTCTTTAGATTTGCAAGGAGTCTTTTGTAGGCAGCATATATATGGGTTTTTTTTTTTTAAATCTATTCAGCTACTGTATGTCTTTTGACTGGAGCATTTAGTCCATTTACATTTAAAGTAATTATTGATAGGAATGTACTTATTGCCATTTTGTTGATTGTTTTCTGGTTATATTTGTAGTTCTTCTCTGTTCTTTCTTCTTTTCTTGTTCTCTTCCCTTCTGATGTGATGATTGTCTTTAATGTTATATTTGGATTTTTTTTTTCCTTTTTTTGTGTATATGTGTTATAGGTTTTTGGTTCTATGAGGTTCATATATAATTATTTATTATATATAGGTATCTATTTTAATTTGATGATCTCTTAAGCTCGAACACATTCTAATAACTCTATGTTTTTAGTCCCTCCACCACATTTTGTTTTTGACATCATGTTTTGTATCTTTTTATTTTGTGTATCCCTTAAATACTTATTGTAGATACAGATGATTTTACTACTTTTGTCTTGTAACTTTCCTACTAGCTTTATAAGTGGTTGATCCACTACCTTTACTATGTGTTTACCTTTACCAGTGAGATTTTTTCCTTTTGTAATTTTCTTATTTCTAGTTATGGCTTTTTCTTTTCTTCTTAGAAGTCCCTTTAACATTTCTTATAAGGCCAGTGTAGTGGTGCTGAACTCTTAGCTTTTGCGTCTCTGTCAAACTCTACTTGTCCTTCAAATCTGAATGATAACCTTGCTGGGTAGAGTATTGTAGGGTTTTTGTTTTGTTTTAAGATTTTTTGATGTGGACCATTTTTAAAGTCTTTATTGAATTTGTTACAATATTGCTTCTGTTTTATGTTTTGGTTTTTTGGCTGTGAGGCATGTGGGATCTTAGCTCCCCAATCAGGGATCGAACCCGCACCCCATGCATTGGAAGGCGAAGTCTTAACCACTGGACTGCCAAGGAGGTCCCTTGGTTGTAGGTTTTTTTCCTTTCATTACGTTGAATACGTCATGCACTCCCTTCTGACCTGCAAAGTTTCTGCTGAAAAGTCAGCTGATAGTCTTATGGGAGTTCCCTTCTAGTTGCTCTTCTCTTGCTACTTTTAAGATTCTCACTTTAATCTTTAATTTTCCCATTTTAGTTATAATGTGTCTTGGTGTGGACCTCTTTGGGTTCATCTTGTTTGGAACTCTGTGCTTCCTGGACCTGGATGTCTGTTTTCTTCCCCAGGTTAGGGAAGTTTCTGGGTGTTATTATTCCAAAAATTCTCTGGTCCTTTTTCTCTCTTTTCTTCCTCTGGGACCCTATAATGTGAATGTTCCTATGCTTGGTGTTGTCTCAGAGGTCCCTTAATTACCTTTATTAAAAACTTTTTTTTTTTTCCTGCTCAGTCTGCTTGATTTCCACTACTCTGTCTTCCAGATAACTGATCCATTCTTCTGTCTCATTTACTCTACCGTTGATACCCTCTAGTGTATTTTTTACTTCAGTTGTTTTATTCTCCAGCTCTTATTTCTTTTAAATTTTTCTAACTCTGTTGAAGTTCTCACTCTGTTCATCCATTCTCCCAAGATTGGTGAACATCTTTATGATCATTATCTTGA